TGCGGAAGAAGCACGTGTGAGTACGGCCTCCTTACGGTAAAGTTGCAATCGCACGGAGATCGTACGTTGTAAGCACGTACAACTCACTTACCACTTGCGCAACGTACGATGCACGCAACCGCTCACGGCCAGACTTGGCGTGCAGACCACACTCTTACACTTTGTGCAACCGTGCGAGTGACGTGCGAGTGACGTGCGTAGACGTCACTCCTTCCCCACGTTTTCAGAAAAAACGTAGCGAACGTAGCCTCCCAAATAAGGTACGGAGAAAAAGCACGTACAATGTACAGCGGGTTGTGACCGTCGCTTTAAAGTTCTACGGCGTGACTGCGTGCTCCCAAATCCGTAGGATTCCGTACGGAGGCGGTACTCACCACGCACGGATGCCCTACGTTTGCCCACGTTTTTGCACGTAGACAGCACGCAGAAGCACGTACGGCGGGTTGTGACCGTAGCTTTAGAGACGCACGCGTGCTTGCAGTTTTTACTTCATAGGCTGATAGTTTCTTGAAATGTGAATTCGTTTCTAGTCGTCACGTAAAGTTTTGTATGGTCTATGACGTTTTGCAGGGAGACGACAGAGACTATTCGTACTTTAATTTCGCCAAGGACAAATATTTTATGTTAACTACAGGTAAGAATATCTCACAACTTACCATACTAAGCTATGTTTACCTTCGAATGGTCGATACTTTTATTTTGTGTCTTTTCCTTACTTACTAAAAAAGGAATCCAATGAAATTTTAGGGAGGATTGGAAAAAAACTTGATATTCAAAGCAAATTTTCTCGCAAATCTTTTTTTTTATACGTAAGTTGGATGAACTCTATTCCATGATATCTGTATGCGATATTGCTTACTTTTAACGGCTGCAGGTATTGTATTGTAGGCTGCTGATAACTGTTTATAAGTGTAGTTTGTTTGGCGCTATTTCAAACGCTTCAAGAGTCAAAAGTGCTAAAAGTAATAATGAATGTAGACAGATATCCTCATCCAATTTTTGTTCTGTTTTGTTTTACCATCTAGGAATTGCATAAGATGTCTTTCACTTGTGCAGTAGAATGCAGACGCAAGAATCACGCTAATGCCGTGTAACTAAATATTAATTTGAGTCATTTCACTTACAGTCGTATAAATGTGACACTGATGTGAATTTAAAAGTTAAAAACTGTACATACAGATAATAACATAATATAATGTGACTTTTGCGAGAACAGCGTTATTGTCCAATTTCTCCGAACTGTGAAGTCACATCGACAATTTAGGATTGAGCAATCATGATCATCTGAAAACTGGAGCAGAACGATTTTTTTTATTTGCAGAAAAGCGGTCATAGATATAACATACAGAGAGACTAGTAGCTTGTGTCCCCATACCAAATTTTCGGTCATTTGGTTTTCGTATATGGGAACGGGCGCAAAAAATGTCCTTTTTTGGTTGAAAAAAAAACAACAAAAGTTACGTTTTATATAATTTTAAAGCAACACATGTCAAAAGCGCCGATAATCTATGTAAAAGATCGCTAGACATATATATATTATATGTGTCCAACGATCTTGATCTCTGTATTGGCCGTTTGGTCTTATGGGGCATAGTAGCCCAAAATGTACATTTTCTGTCAGAAAATAGCAAACAAGTCCCATTTTACACATTTTACTGTATATAGATATATAACGTTATATACATATATGAAGTTCTGTGGGCATGTCTCCAACCACCCCCTCCCCTCCCACACACACCACTAAGAATAGAATCCTTGCACAGTTTTATAGACGGAAAAAAGAGAAAGGACACAGATTTAAAGTTGCCAAAATGGCCATACTAGTATTCGCCTGTATGTGTCACAGGGGCTCAACGTCAGAGAGTCATGTGCAGGCAAACTGGATCCTCTATGACTGGTAACCTCCTCTGGCCAATGATATTCCACTTTAAGGCCAATTTCTACTACTAGTATATTTATTCAGCCTGCAGAGGAGTCTTTGGCGACTAAGAGGTTCACACCGGATTTTATTATTGCAGTGTTGATTT